CTGATTCGCTCGAATTTGACCGTGTAGATCTGCCTCGATGGATTCAGCACCTGATTTGAAACGGGTCAAATTGAAACAATCCATATCAGGCTCTCGAAAAATATTCTGCTATCTGTCCGCTTCCCATTGCTCCCCAAATATGAATAAACTCTCCGTGTGTGGGCTGCAAAGAAGCATTCGACGTTGGGAATGTGGCAATAAATAGATTGTTATTTACCGATGAATGCTTTTTACCATGCTACGCTCCTCCTCTACACCTACTAATTAGTAATCCACTACTTAGTAATCGACTCATCACACAATGTTGTTCTTTGTGATAGGCAGAATGATTGACAATACAAATTATATAACCCCTAAAGCTGATAACTGTCAACTAGAAATACTTACATAGCATCTTGATTCCATAACAGTTATTTACCATTAATTACAGCTCAAGAAAATCATGTGAATTATAAGCATGGTTTGTCGACTCGGCACAGCTTTTGTGCGCGTACTGCATGAATTTCACATTATTTTTTTAACCTCCTGATGCATGTGACGAGTAGAGAATCAATACAGCTGCTTTCAAATGAATGAATGAATCCATCAGACTACAGATTTCAATGAGGATCACAGAAATAATAATGATAATAATAGTAATAATAATCTTCCAGAAAAAGAATTCAGTGAGCGTTATTCTGGGCATTGCGCATTGCGCAATGGCCACCAGACATTCACTGTTGCTGTTTCTCCGATTGCTAAATGGAATTTCGAGGAAATTCAAAACAGCGATATCTGGTGATGAATTTGCATGGATTCAATGGAATGCACTCATGGGATGGGGGCATACCGAAGAAGCACCTAACGTGGCACTCATCCTCCAACACGCCTGTGTAAAGGTTTCGAAAGAAATATTTGAAATCAACACATCTATGACAATCTGTAATTTTCTTCGTTTGATTTTACGTAATTATAATAAAACATTGGGCATGAACCTGAGAAGCACATTACACCAAATGCATCACCTATAGCCGCAAACGTCCCACTATAACTGATCCCATAGGGTTCAATGAATTGGACGATAGATTGCATACACTCTCTCAGCCTACAACTCAGTTTTTGCATGCCATTATATCTCAACAAGTAGTGCCCAATTACGGTGACCATTAAGTCAAAAGTATTGAATGAAATGCTAACTTCTCGGAACATTATTCCTCGTGCCTCATTGATTAAATGGTTATCAGGAAAGTAGGTCTTCGAGGTTCCCGAAGCTCGATTAATTCATCCCATTTTTTACTCCCAAAATCTGTGAACCAGGTCGATCCCCATTTGCCGTAGGGTTGAGCTAACCAGTAATTTTTGGTATTTTACACCTCCTAGTACGGGACCTTAAAGTCGGAACTATAGGAGATAAAACAGAATGTTAACATGTCAAGACACTCGTCATCTTCGATGCTAGATAGAAAAGGCAAGCCAAAGCTTTGCCTCAAGAAAGTAATGGAGGATTTGATTCAATTTCAAAGGACAAATTCGTCGTGTATACGTCATATAAAACGTGGACTGAAAAGCCAGGAAGCACTGGATAGCTATTTCGACCTGGTTGGGTCTCATCAGCAGTGCGAATCGATCTACCCAACTGGGGATCGAACACGGGACCTCATAGGCAGAACGCAAGCACTCGGCCACCGGGCAGCTGATCAAACCATTTTTCATTTTCCATTTACACGATATAGCACAACCCATCTTTGCGAGCTTGTTGCAGACCGCAGACCTCGCTCATCTCCGGAGTTATGACTCGGTTGGAAACAATCACAACCTGACTACTTATTTCATGTGAGTAATGGAGGATTTGATTCAATTTCAGAGTGGAAATGATCTATTCAGCTGCCCGGTGGTCGGGTGAATAGCATGTTTGCGTTCTACCCATGAGGTCCCGTGTTCGATACCCATTTGGTTCGGTGGATTCTCACTGTCGATGAGACCCAAACAGGTAGAAACAGCTGTCTAGTGCTTCCTAGCTTTTCAGTTCACGCTTCATTTGACATATACGCGACGAATTTGCCCCTTTGAAAATATATCGTAGCTGCTTTTGAACGGGCACAGACACCATCTCCGAAGAAATGTGACAATGAGTCCTACCGCTCCCGCTCATAGGCCACTTGGCTAACCCGTGGGTCTAAATTTGTCCTGAAGTACCGTTTGTGAAAATACTGATGAATTTAGAGAAAATAATGAAATCTTTAGACAATACTTCCAGCCAGTATGGGACCGGCTCACAACTCGCTTTCAACTTGTACTGTCAGTATCCAAGTACCCCGTTATTTTCTTGTTCTTTTTTAGGTTAGCCTTGTATTACATTATCCTTATCATATGTGCAAAATTGAAATTTGTTTTATTTGGATATGAAAATATCCACCGTCTGAAATAAAGCAGAGAAACACTTCTAAACCAGCTAGCTCCCACAATACACAATCGTCTTAGGAAGGATCATTCAATAAAATTACTAAAACTGATGGATTAGAACTGATCAGAAACAAAAGTTCACTGTAATGAGAGACAGAAAATACTCACGAGTTTCAGTTATTGTAGTTCTTAATGGTCCATTCAGATCGGGATATTGTACAAGTAACTGAAGTTGATGCTTGTATTCTTCCACCTGTTTGGCCATCTGCTGCATCGAACTAGTAGCCTTCAATTCCGCACCAGCGGTCTGCTCTTGCTTCTTCTGTAATTGAGCTACCATGTCCTGCGGGCAGAGCGATAGATAAGCACGCTTGAACAGAATCCAAAAAAGAACTCACCTGTAGCTGTGAGCAACGGGCATGTGACTTTTCAACCTTTTCATAGTTCTCAATGGCCGCGGATCGCAGTGATTCAATCGTGTTCTCCGCGTCAGTTAATGTTTGTTCCTGCTTGGATTTCTGTTCCAAAAGTTGTCTCATACGTTGTATTAGGTTCTCATGTTTCTGTTGCCAATACTGAATTGATCAGATGATGAAAGGTGAACTCTGAATGATTGTTCAACTCTGCGTTTAGTCCAAAAATTCAGAAAGTAGTCTCCAGCCCAATAAGTTCACTCAAACTATCGTGTCTAAAACAGGATTCAAGTGGTCAATTATACGAACATTACCTCCCCTTAAACAAAACACATATTCCATGGAGTCACATGCAGTTAGTAATACGTTCTTAATCAATAGTTTCCTTAGTGCGATCATCCTTAGACGCATCTGCGAAGTCTGTAAGATGTGTTTTCTTAGATTTCTCATCAGCTTTTGACTCTGTTCCACGTTCCGTCCTTCTTCGTAAACTGGAATCATTTGGCTGTCCCAAGCACCTACTAGCGTGGCTGGTCGACTACTTTACAAACAGAACTCAGCAGACTCGGCTCGGTAGGAAAACGTCTAAACCACTCGTGAACAATTCGGGAGTACTACAGGACGCCGTGCTGTCTCCGTTCTTGTTTTCCACCTACATCAGTGATCTCTCTGCGAGTTCTCCAGCCCAGTTAATTAAATATGCTGATGACGTAGCCCTTTGCCAAGCCGTTTCCGTGCCTGAGGACTTTTTACATTTCTCGAATAATCTATTGCATATTCATGAATTTTCCGTTCTTTCTGGACTGTCTCTTAATTTATCCAAGTGCTTCGAATGCACTTTCTCCCTTTCTCGATCTGTTTATCCTTGTGATTCGTCTGTCATAAACATGGTTCGCCTAACTAGAGTTGAATCTGTGAAGTATCTGGG